CCCCCCCCCCCCCCCCACCTTGGACTTCCCGCAATGCGATTAAGGGTCAGAAGGGTAAAAAAAATCTCCCCATCACACCCTCATTAATCCGATTTAGGGTCACAAGCGTCAAAAAAAAATTCCCCTTCCCCTTGGACTTGCCACAATACGATTAAGGGTCAGAAAGGTAAAAAAAATTTCCTCACCCCATCAAAACTATAACAATCCGACTTACGGTCAGGAGGGTCAGCAAAAATTCCCTTCCCCCCTTGCATCCTCAACAAAAAACCCAAAATTCCCCCCTCCCCTCGCCCCGNTGAAGGGTCAAAAAAAAGCCACCCCCCCCACTCGGATTATTTGCTATTCGATTCAAGGTCAGAAGGGTCGAAAAAAAAATTTCCTCCCACTCTTGGACTTCCCACAATGCGATATAGGGTGAGAAGGGTCAAAAAATTCCCCTCCACCCGTGGACTTCCCGCAATGCAAGTAAGGGTCAGAAGGATCAGGAAAAATCCCCCCCCCTCGCACGCTTCGCAATTCGATTTAGGGTCAGAAGGGTCAAATAAAATTCCCCCCCGCCCCCGAGGACACCCCTCAATGCGTTTAATGGTCAGAAGGGTAAAAAAAAATCCCTCCACCCCTCTCATAGCATCCTCAACTATCAGATTTAGGGTCAGGTGGGTCAGAAAAAAATTCCTCTCACCCCTTGGATACTCCACAATCTGATTTGGGTCTGAAGGGTCAGAAAAAAAGCCCCCCCCCCTCCCGCTCGGCCCCTTCGCTGTTAAATTTAGGGTCAGAAGGGTAAAAAAAAAATTCCCCCCACGCTTACACTGTCCACAATGCGATTAAGGGTAAGAAGGGTCAAAAAAATTACCCCATCGCACCCTCAGCTATCCAATTTAGGGTCAGAAAGGTAAAAAAAATCCCCCCCTCCCGCCGCTCGCACCCTCATCAAAGAACCAAAAATTCGACCCCCCCCCGTGCGTCCTCTGAGAATGACACATCAAAAATCAATTGTTTGATTAATCATTCAAAAATTAATTAAAAAACCGGCTGATGCTATCCCACTGTCGACTCATTCGGCAGGAGGCTTGGGCGGCTGATCGCCATCTCGCGGATTCTCCCCCACACGACGTTCTAGTGGCATTAAGTACACTAGCAATAACTTCTTCAAATTCATCAAAAAAACTCAATTAATGAGTGATAACTGACACTAATCTTCTGATAATTTACTTCCTAATCATTATTCCACTTTATGTCGATCATTTTCATGCTTTGTAGGCCCAAAAATGCACATCTACACACATCTACGGAACATCTACGCTATACCGTAGATGGAACGTGTTCCATAAATCTCCAGGGATCTTACGAGTGCACAACCAAGGGAAACTGTAATTCTATTGTAAACGGTGTAATGCCATACAAAAGAAAATAAATCATTCATTCATTCATTTGTATAAAAAATATCCGTATAGAAATATCCGAATATCATATACGAAAATCCTATAGAAATTCTATACGCAATCCGTATCGCCAATTTGTATGGGGGAGAGTGGGGTAAAATGGACACTTTAGACTTTTGTTTTAATTACTCATATAACGCAGAAACGAATTTATCAATTGAGTTCGGTTTAGGCGCATCACAAAGGGAACGAATTGTTCTTTGCAATAAAAAAAAATTATTAAATTTGATCAACACTAGAGAACGGGCGCTTCGCGCCCGTCGCTAGCTTGTAAAATTGGGTGGTGCCAGATGGTATGACCGTTGCGGTCTTTTACCTACCCGTCCCATCATTACCTACGCGGTACACCAGCCTAATTCCCTACCCGCACTTGCCTTTAAGCTAACTTATATCTAACTCCACATAACTAACTCCACATGCACTGGGTTCGTTTTCCGGCGATGAAAAAATCTTTCATCACCGGGACTCGAACCTGCGCTACTGGGAGGCTTTGGTTTATAGGGCCAGCACGCTGACGACGAGCCCAAAGACGTTCTCCGTCGCTAGCTTGTATTATATTATATTAATTTATTTTATTGTTTTCTTTCCAATTTTTCTTTGCGGTTAGATTAAATTAAATTTATTGGATTCTATTCCCATTGTAGTATACCAATTGTGGGAATAGTTTTTCTCATTTTCAAATGAAGAGATATTTATGTTAAATAATATGAGTATAATATAATAATTCCTCTCAATGAAATCAAATCATGAAAATGAAATTTTTTTTTCCTGATCTGATTTCATTGAGAGGAAATGAGAAAAATGCAGGGAGAGATGATTAGCAAGAAAATAAAAGAAAACTATTTTTTTTAACGAAAAAATATCAATATGTTCCCTTTCTATGATCTAATTTCAATGGAAGAAAGTAAAAAAAGAACAGAGGTACGTTTTCAGTAAGAACATAAAAATTTCGACTTTTCAATGTGTCCGGAAAGTTTTAAAATTGATATATTTTTTCAAATAATGAAAGATCAATTCAATCTCTATTCTCACATTTTGATAAAATACATAAATAATACATAAAAAATATAATAGCGCTTTTCTTGAACTGTTCTTTTTCAAACTTATCTGAATGTGTTTCTTCAAAACTACTTTTTTTGTTTATAATTTTTACATGTTTCTTGAAACCTGGATTAACCTCTAAAACAATTGAACCCTAACAGGCAAGGGGAGGTGAGGGGTTAGAGGTTAATCCTGGTTTCAAGAAACATGTAAAAATCTAAAACAAAAAAAATAGTTTTGAAGAAACATACTCAAATAAGTTTGAGAAAAAGCGGTTCAAGAAAAGCGCTATAAAAAAATAGCAAAGAAAAAAAATCGGAGATGAAAAATTTTATCGGGTTAATATAATGTAATTTCAACCCGTCATTAACAGTAAATGAAAAGTCAAGTGTCCATTTTACCCCAACCTCCCCTGCGATTTCTTCACGTGTAAACCATTCACAATCAAAATTGGAAAATCTAAAAATCGCTCAGAAACACGCCTTCCATGCGGAAGCAAAAAAGCCGCTTTGCCGATTTGTTTACTGAAAACATTTTCTTGAATCCCTCAAATAACGAAAGTTTAGAAAAATTTGAGATTAACAAACATTTACGTGAGAGTCACGTGGGCAAGTGCGTCAAACACACATTGCCCTCTCCCCACCCCGCTCTTCGCGGAACGAGGCAAATGGAAGGGGAAAGGAAGATTCCTTTTCATAACCCCACTTTTTCCTTATCCCAAAAGTCTCTTTACATGAACAACTGTTGTGTTGACCGTGAAAATACTTGTACGTCTGCATCAGTAAGTGTGTGTGGCAGTGTAAACCAGTCGCCAACAGCTGCCTGGCATATTTCATAAATTTACAATATGGCAGAGCGGAGGAGAAATAAAAAGCGCAAAGATGTGAGTTGACAATGTTAATCTGATTGAATATAGTGTTCATAATTTTGGCAATTGATGGATGAGTGGTGATGCGACACGACGATTATTGGTTATTGCTCGGTTTGTTGGGAGTCATGGCAGGGGGATGAACACGTTGGCAGATGATTTTCTGCTGAACTGCCACGGATACAGGATCTGTGACGTCAGGTTCCTTCGTTTCGAGGAAATTATTTGATTGATTTTGGTGATCGATATTTTGGAGGAAATGTTTGGATGTGCTATTGCTATGGTGAGAATGGGCCGTCGAATGGGAAAACATAACGGAGTATTTTAGGAGGTCGAGGAGTGGACGAAATGTTTTTGGGATTTTTCATGATAGAATGGCACGATTTGGATAGATTACATCTTATTTTGAAGCTTGAGGAATTACCTTGACAATGAGTTGAGATTTTTTTGATTTCACTCTGCCAATTTCGAGTTATCAACAGTCAAAGAGAGTTGATTTGGTTCATTTGGTTTCTGATGTTGTTTTTTCATTTGGGGTGCGTTTTTTGGGGATATCTCGGAATCTGTAGGAGGTGGCGGAATTTTTGTTAAGACCTTTTTTGGAGAGCGGAATTAGAGCTACAAAAATGGTATTTACAAAAATGTTGATATCTGTCGTAGATTTGAAGATATTCATGAAAATCACTGAAGCGGATTTTCATTCTTTTTGGGTTGATGAAAGATATAAAAAATTGAGTTTGTAATTCCTCAATGTCTCCGGAAGAAATGATCCGAATCGAAAAAATGCAGTCTCATTTCGAACCTTGAAAAATATCTTGAAAATGAAATAAGATTTTTTTTATTTCACTCAGTCAATCTCGAGTAATCTCCAATCAGGCACTTGAATGATATTTGCTAATTTAATCTAAATTGAAAATCCGAACGAATGCTTTTCATTTCCCCTCAATATCTCCCGAACAAACGATCTGATTCAGATAATTTGGGCTCATTGTAACCCTCTCAAAAAATCCTTCAAAACGCCACCAAACTCATTAATTTCTACGCAACCAATCTCGTGTTAGCTACAACTAAACAAATTAATTCACTGGGGAAAGGGTGAAAAACGTTTCAACTCGACTCAGCTCTTAGCTGAGTTTTCAAGGAATATCTCCGAATCCACGGGAGATAACGAAATTTTCGTGAAGACCTTTTTCCTGGAGCCATTTCAGGCCAACAAAAAAGTTTATAACAAAAATTTCACCATCTCCCTTAGATTTCGAGATATTCATTAAAAATTGGGCTGTTCTCCAAATCCCATTCTCTCAAAAGCCTGAAACTTCAAGCGATTAACAAATAAAATCCTCTCGCCCTCCACCCACTCTCATTTCCAGGAAGCTCCAGGGGGCAAGCAACCGGTGGACAAGCCCAGCAAAGAGGAGTACTCAGTGGCCAAGTGGATCCGCGAGAACGTTCCCTCCAAGAAAACAAAATTCGTCAGCCACAACGTAGAGTACTTCACGGGTTCCCGTGCTGTTAACGCCCTCCTGGACAAATCCCCCTGGAACAAAACGATATTCGAGACGAGGGAGCAGGTGGTGGACTTCCTGGACGTGATGTTGAGACACAAGTTCTTCCACAGAGCCAAGAAGATAGCTCTGACTGAGGAGGAGCTCAACAAGCGTCGAGCCATCAAGAAGAAGGGAAAAGAGTGTTGTGTCAAGGAGAAGGGCAAGGAGTGCTGCGTCAAGGAGAAGGAGAAGGATAAAGACAAGGAGAAGGAGAAGGAAAAGGAAAGAGCCAAGGAAAAGGAGAAGGAGAGCCCAGAGGACAAAGAAGAAGACAATAAAGAGAAGGAGCCGAAGAAAGGAGCAAAAGTTCGTCTTGAAATGCACATGGATCAGTATTTCGTAGACTGCAATGACGCTTATGTCTGGATCTACGAGCCCATTCCCGTTTACTACTGGTTCTTCGGGACCCTGGTGGTCCTGGGTGCAATCGCAGTGTGTCTCTTCCCCCTGTGGCCCGCCACTATTCGCAATGGGGTTTACTATCTCAGTGTCGCGGCCGCTGGATTTTTTGTATTTATTCTAGCACTAGCTCTGTTGAGAGTCATTATCTTCTGCTTCCTGTGGGTGCTGACCCTTGGGAGACATCACTTCTGGCTGCTGCCGAATCTCGCCGAGGATGTGGGCTTCTTTGCGTCCTTCTGGCCGCTCTATCAGGTGGGCTTTTGCGGGCCTTGATGAGGGATGGGCGATGTTTTAAAAAACATCGATTATTGAAGAATTGATTTTTTGCAAAAACATCGATGTTGCGAACCGATTTTTCGGGAAAAGATCGATTATTTAAAAAATCTGTTTTTCTCATTACACAGGAGAAAAAAACATTTTTTTAATAATTTTTTATCTTATCGTTTTTATTAAAAAATATATATTCAAAAACTACAACCCGAGGAACTTATGTTTTAATGATAAGTACTGCTAGAGAGTTAAATTTTGAATCTCGAAACGGGGTTTTTGATTAATTGAAGAAAATATATTGAATATTTTCCGTTAGGTACAATAATGATTAAAAATTTTAATTTAAAAAAAATTGAAAAATTTAAAGGCTCGGGTGTACTATCTTTCGAAAGTTATCTCGATGTTTTTTTTTCATCTTTTGTCATCTGAAATTGTCAATTAAGTACCACATCATGCAGAAGTTGTGAAAAATTATGAATGAATAATCAAAAAAAAAGTAGAAAAAATTCTTAGTTTTTCAAAGAGCATTTTTAATTTATATTCAGAATAAGTTGAATAACAAGAAATTTAAAAATGTATCTGATTTACGGTGACAAATGACGGCCTGTCACCCGATATCATGCAGGAGGAAGACTGATTTCGTAAATATTTTCTCACACTGCACAGAGACATTTATTACGGAAAAAAGCTCTTTGAAAAAAATTGTAATATTTTAGAGAATTTCTTAATCACATTTTTATCATATAAAAATGGCAGATGACTACATACCACTGTTTTTAAAATTGAGATACCTAGCTGTCACTTCCCATGAGGTGTTAGTGTTTTGTCATCCACCATAGAAAATGACAGCTAATAGATAATTTGCCACAGCGAATCAGGTATTTGTAATTTCCACTTTTTTCAACAAATTCTGAATCCGAATTAAAAACGTTCTTTGAAAAAGTTCAGAATTTTTTCTATTTTTTTTTCATCATTGTATCATAATTTTTGGGAATTTCTACGTGATGTACCACTCAATTGACAATTTTGGATTACGAAAGATAAAAAAAACAAGATAACATTCCAACGTTAGTACACCCGGGCCTTAATCCAAAAAAAAATAGACGACGGAACTTGTTCACTTATCACTTATAACATACATACTGTAGAACATAATGACTTCTGATTGCGGATAAATTATTATTTTGTTTATTCAAAATCAATCAACATTATTCTTCGACAAAAAAATGAAAAATTTTGTTAGCTTGGTCAAAAACATCGATGTTTGGAAAAAAAACCGAAAATCGATTAATCGGCCGTTCAAAGCATCGAATGAAAAACGTCGATGTTTGGGCATGAAAAATCGATATTCTCGATTAATCGACAAACATCGTCCATCCCTAGGCTTAATGAGGCTGCTTGAGGCTCATGCTGGGTCCCTTTTTGTTTCAGTATGAGTACTGCGGGCCGGGGAGCGATAAGAAGAATAAAAAGAAGAAGAGGAGGAAAGAGAAGGATTCTGATGGCGAGGAGGGCAATGCTAATCAAGGGTAATTGACGTTTTTGTCGTTGTTTGCGTGATTCATCAAGGGTTTTTATTTGATATTTTTAAGATTATACTTTCAGATCATGTATGAGCATTGAAAAAGCAAATGCAAAAAGTTTTTTCACGTAGGGAACTTGCGTGAAGGTCAATTCTTTCTAATTCCCTTATTCACACATTCCTCGTATAATATATGGATAGCTGAAGAGCGAAAACTATGGAGGAATATTGCCTACACTGAGAGAAAAACAAACGTTGTAAAACAAGTCTTGTTTGGGCCAACAAAATCGCTTGAAAATTGCCAAAAAAGAATTTGTTTGGTTCGAATTTGAAAGTCTCAAACATGAATAATTGTTCTGCTTTCGACAGCAACGAAATATTTGGTTCAAGAGGCGGGTAATTTACATCAGACGGTGCCTTTTCAGGATGAAAATATCTCATATAGAGGAAAATTTATCAACTAATATTTTATCCCTAAGTTACAAGATTGCTATGATATCATTATTATTGTTTCATTTGAGGGTTCATTTCTTGTCTGTGATTATTAGACAATCGAAATGAAAAACTAATATCCCTTGTTCCGCACAAAACGAAGATTTTTCGGGAGCAAAATACGTATGGGAGTGTCGAATAACGAAGGAGTAGTGCTAGAAATGACATTTCTTGCGTGCACAGAGAATGCAATTTTTTTTGAACTACTAAATCTATTTTTGCGACAAAAATTTTTCATTCCGGCGCACTCTGCATGTTTGGCAGAAAAAAATCCTTTTTTGTCATTCCGGCCGTGAGGCAGAGATTCACGGACGCGGAGCGGAGCGGAGGAGGCAGAGATTCACGGCCATCATAACAAAAAATACTGTTCGTCATACCGCCAAAAAAAACTTTTCTAGCTCATATGATTGCAAACTCATATTCGCCAGAAAAGTTTTTTTCGGCCTAGTGACGAAATATACTATTTTGATAATTTTCAAAAAACTTTTCTTGGCACAAGTAATACTTGTGTCAGAACTTTGCCGTTTTTCTCTCAGTCTAGATGTTTTATGATGATTCATTGAAAATCGGTCGTTTTCGAGGCCAAATTTTTGGTCATGACGTCACGAAGACGCTCAGGTAACGCTTCATTGGTCGAAAAACAAGAGAGTGGGGAGTTGTCGTCCTCCATTGGCCGAGGCGCACCTCAAGATTGGGTTAGGTCGGCTCGAGTCATTCTGTGATTGGTCCAGCGCTCGACTGTCGGTATGATGTCACTAGCGATTACAAAGCGTTTGAAATCTTCAACTTTTAACAATTAATTATCAATTAATGAGCAATATCTCAAACGTTTATGAATGAAAAATAAATTATTCAGGTCCCAAACTTGAGATTAGAAAATTGATAAAAATTCATGCTAGTTCCCTATTGCCCTTTATTTTTATTTTTGGAGTCTTTCCGTCGGTGAATTATCAATTTGAAAAGAAATCCCATAAGAGTCTGTGTACAATAAAAAATTCATTCGTTTAATTTCGTAAAAGCGACTGCAACTAATTTTTATTAATCATCAGAAATGTTGGTTTCACATGTTCCCCATCAGTCTAAAAAAATAACAGAAGAACTTGTACTTTCAAAAAATGGATAAACATCCTGAAAAATGCAATAATTTAAAATACAATTCAAAATTTGCATAATTTATTCCCTTCAAATCTTTATCGAGGCAAATATAAAATCACCAAAACATGGAACTCCACCAATCAGTTCACATTAACTCCAGAAAAAAACAAGCAGGGGTTCCAGCCTTTTTGGCCGAAGCCATCTGACCGTTACTTTATGTGTTATAACTCTTTTTCTTTTTTTCATTTCTACCAATTCCATTGGTAGTAAGCTTCCGAATAGGATAGAAGGCATCGAAACAAATATTAAAAAAAAAAATTGAAATCGGTTGCGTAGTTTTAAGCTATTGTACATAAAAGGTTTTCAGAGAAAGTCGAATATCTCGGAAACTACCCATGCGATTGAGCTTATTTCTCTCAATAGGAAGGATTGTTATCACGAGAGGAAGATTCTGTCCAAATTTCAAGTTGATATCTCAGTTTTTGCACAAGCTAGAGAGATTACAAGCATTTTTATGAAAAAACAGAAAAATGGAAATATCTCGAAAACTTTGTATGAACGGGTATACATGTTTTGATTGATTCGGATAGAAGGCATCGAAACAAATATTTTGAAAAAAAAAATTGAAATCGGTTGACTAGCTTCGAAGATATTAGCGAAAAACGATTTAAAAACGAATAGCTTTTTCTCAAAAACTATTTGATCAATCGGGCTGAACTTTTGCACAGAGTTAGTCCTTGTTAAGGTCTATAACCTGACAAAATTTCAAATTTTATGGAATAAGTTTAGCCAATTAATTACTCAATTTTCCAAAAATTGACCACCGGAAAGGTGGCGATGGACATTGACACCGACAGACATGGTCGTCAAACTTCGTATTTTTACGTTTCAGACCATTCTACATAATTTCCAATCAAAATTAGAGAATGTGAAAACAACACGATTACAATGCTTCCATTCGGAAGCAAAAATGAAAAGATAGAATAACATCGTCGCTCTAAAGGTAAAGGGGCGTAAGTGCCAGGAAACAGTGTTTCCAAAGTGAAAGAGGCGTATGTCCCAAATTGATGGTTTTTATGCTTTTCATACAATTTCTGAACAAAAACCTATCAACGAAAATATCTCTAATAAACAGGCGTAATGACCAGATTTTAATGGGACAGGAGCGTATCTCCACACTTACGCCTCTTTCATTTTAATCAATAAATCACACTTACGCTCCTTTAGTGTTATGTATGAGGCACTTTCCATGACGTATTCATTTTTTAGTTAAAATGAGGGGCGTATGTCCCCCTTACGCCTCTCTCCTATTATAAAAGCAATTCTCTTCATAAATTACTCCGAGCTCTTCATCCTGGAAGATATTCACAAAATAGTAGTCAATTCTACCTTGAATCTGTTCTTTTTCTCTACTCCTTCGGAGCGTGCCCAGAAAAGGTCTCGGGTTGCAACGTCTAATTTTCGATGTTGTTCGAGATTCTTTTTTTAAATGAACAAAGGGTTGAAATGGGTAAAATTTGATTTCTATGATGTGTACATTCACGAGAAGACGGGAATCCAGTGGACAATGGAGTAATCATAATACATTTCGAGACTTTCCAATGAAAGGGAAAAATACTTATTTTTCTCAGTATCATTTGAATTTCTGCTATGTACGGGAGTTACGCCTCTTTGTGATTATGATTTTTTAGGATGGATAAAAAATTGGATGAATGACTAAAAACAAAGGGGCGTAAGTGCTCGACTTACGCCCCTTTATTATTCATTTTCCTTCACGTAAATTAGAATATTATCAGTAAGGATAACAGTAAAGGGGCGTAAGTACCGGACATACGCCTTCTTAGTGTTTACTGATTGGACTTACGTCCACTTGGCGTAAAAAAAATTGACGAAAAACCTAAGATATAGACAGAAAACT